CACTTAAACAACAATCGTTTACAAGCCGGGAAACAATGATGATGACAAGTGAAAGCCAAATCTGACTATGTTCATCATTCCCAATATATCAAGCTGGGTACAAAACTTGATGATAAACAATTAGTACCCAGATACATGTCTATAGCCAATAAACATATGAAGTAATTTATGGTCATATAATATGAAAGTTAAAACATATAAAAAATTGTGGCAATAATTATTAGTCTGTAAAAAGATCAACACGCCAAAATGTAAAAGTGCAAATGCATCCAAGATAAAGTAAATATTAATAAAATCTATATGAATAATAAAAATCATGTACATAATCAATAAAGGAACAATATAAAATGAAATACTTCATAAAAAAGTGTGCATAATATATATACACCAAAACAGAATAGATGCCTGAAACAGTTAAAAATATAGTTAAAAATGATGCTAATTAATATTATCATATAAATATAAATGAAGATTATGACATTATAAAAATATTATTGTTTCATGATATATCAATCATAACTTATAAAATCTCCAGAAGGAGTTATTAGCATCATATCAAACATATAAGAAGATAATAGAAATATAGAATAGGATAGACCTAAAAATTGGTTTTGATCAGAGGTATTTACAAGAATTATTAACTGATAAAATCCTCACAAGGGATTATTAGCATCATGTAAAATGTATAAAAAGGTAATGTAAATATAGAATAGAATAGACCTAAAAGCCAAATTTTGGTCAGAAATAAAATTAGGATTCGCAATCTTAGCTGTTAGCAATAAAACAATTCACATCTAATTCAATATTCAGTCCCGATGGATGTAAGGTATTGAGTTAGAATACCCGCTTTGTCTCGGCCTGTGAGACAGCACACGTTTTGTTAGTACCCCTCCAATGTGGTGTGATAATATCGATCCCCGTGAATTTGAGGGAAGAGGGATCCTTATTGTGATGTATGCTATAATTAGATAAAAAGTGTCCTCTGAAACCTTTTTTGATGTTTGACACATGTTCACGTAAACGGTCACGTAGCCTTCTGGTGGTTCGGTCTTTTGCGAAAGATGATTTCTGGTCTCTCTGGAAGAATGTTAGATAAAACTGGATCTGCCTTCAGGAGACTCCAGCCAGCCAGGTGGGATGATGGCAACTGTCTGTAGGGATATAGCTGTTGCGATCATTATGTTTTAAGAAAGAATCAGTTTTACCATTACTGTTCATTAGTGTCAGGTCAAGAAAATGTATACTTTGTTTGCTATAAGAGTAGGTCAAATTGATATTAAGTGTATTATTGTTTAGCGTGCCGAATAAATTTATAAGTGATTCCTCATTCCTTTCCATAGGAGAAAGATATCATCTATATATCTTTTGTATGTTAATAATTTGGGCCAGTCTCTGGCGTAGAATTACCTCTCCCTCCTCACACATATACACACATATATACACACTATATTGCCAAAAGTATTGGGATGCCTGCCTTTACACGCACATGAACTTTAATGGCATCCCAGTCTTAGTCTGTAGGGTTCAATATTGAGTTGGCCCACCCTTTGCAGCTATAACAGCTTCAACTCTTCTGGGAAGGCTGTCCACAAGGTTTAGAAGTGTGTCTATGGGAATGTATCCAGAAGTGCATTTGTGAGGTCAGACACTGATGTTGAACAAGAAGGCCTGGCTCACAGTCTCCGTTGTAATTCATCCCAAAGGTAGTCTATCGGGTTGAGGTCAGGATCAGTCAAGTTCCTCCACCCCAAAGTCTCTCATCCATGTCTTTATGGACCTTACTTTGTCCACTGATGCACAGTTATGTTGGAACAGTTCCTCACATGACTGGGCCATTAATATTCTTGGCTATGTTCTCTTTTGGAGAGACAGGGTAAATAGGAAAGGTGGTGGTGTCTGTCTCTATGTGAGAAGTGCTCTGAGTGAGTGTGAAAGAGGAGCTAGTTGATGGAGAGTGTGATGAGGCTGAAGTATTATGGGTGGAACTGCACATGGTGGTGTGTACTACAAAGGTAATCATTGGAGTTTGTTATAGGCCTCCCAGTGTTAATGAAGAGGTGGAGACTCAGCTCCTTGCACAGATCGAAAGGGCTGCAAGGGCTGGGACAGTGATAATAATAATGGGGGATTTTAACTACCCATAAATTGACTGGAGTAATGGTACTGCAGGAACAGTTAAAGAGCAAATATTTTTAAACATACTACAGGACAATTTTATGGTACAGTTCATAGAGGCCCCAACTAGGAATGATGCTCTGCTGGACCTGGTAATCTCAAACCATGCAGAGCTTATCACAAATGTCCATATAAAAGAACATCTGGGTAGCAGTGACCATAACATGATTTCATTTATTGTTAGCTGTAAAAAGTAAGCACATGCGGGAAAAATAAAAATGCTCAATTTTAAGAGAGCTAATTCTCCAAGGCTGAGAGCTGCTCTCCAAGACTTAGACTGGGAGGTAATATTGGCATCAATGAACACAACACAGAAATGGGAGTTCTTCAAAAAGACTGCATGTGAACACACTGCAAAATATATTCCCATGGGCAACAAGTTTAAAAGGCTAAACATCAAACCTATGTGGCTTACGGCCAAAGTTAAAAAAAACTATAAATAATAAGAAAAGAGCTTTTATTAAATATAAAAATGAAGGAACACTATCATCGTTTAAACATTACAAAGAATATAACAGAATATGCAAAAAGGGAAATAAAGGCCGCAAAAATTGAAAACGAACGACAGATTGCAAAAGATAGCAGGACCAACCCCAAAAAATTCTTCAAATATATTAATAGTAAAAAGGTCCGGTCTGAGCATGTAGGCCCTTTACAAAGTGGGTGACTGGGGACAAAGAAATGGCAAATTTATTAATTACCTTCTTCAGCTCTGTGTATACAAAGGAGCATGGGGGAGCTCTTGTCCATGAAGGGCATGGTATTGACACAGCTCCAGATGATCCACAATGGCTCACAATTAATATGATCCAAAAATATTTAGACAGAATAAAGGTGAATAAAGCACCTGGACTGGATGGCATACACCCACGGGTCCTTAAAGAATTGAGCTCTGTCATTTCATTCACATGCCATTGTTTCTAATTTTTAGGGACTCTTTATTGACTGGCATAGTACCACTGGATTGGTGTAAGGCCAATGTGGTGCCAATATTTAAAAAGGGGTCAAAATCTTTACCAAGTAATTATAGACCTGTTAGTTTCACTTCCATAGTTGGGAAGATACTGGAGAGTTTAATAAAAGACCACATAGATGAGTTCTTGCTGGAAAAAAATATTTTAAGCAACAGACAGTATGGATTCATGACAGAAGTTGTCAACCAAATCTGATTTCTTTTTATGAGGAGGTGAGCAACACTTTGGACAGAGGGGTGGCGGTAGACGTGGTATACTTGGACAGAGGGGTGGCTGTGGACGTGGTATACTTGGACAGAGGGGGTGGCGGTTGGTATACTTGGATTTTGCAAAAGCGTTTGACACAGTTCCCCACACATAGCTAATGTGTAAGGTAAAGTCTACAGGCTTGGAAAAATCTGTTTGTAAATGGATAGAAAACTGGCTAAAAGATCGAATGCAAAGAGTAGTGGTTAATGATTCACACTCTGAATGGTCTAGGGTTGTCAGTGGTGTACCCCAAGGTTCGGTGTTGGGACCCTTACTTTGTAATATATTTATAAACGATATAGGGTCTGGAATTATAAATTCCATTTCAGTCTTTGCAGATGACACCAAGCTGTGCAGTGGAATAACGTCCTTACAGGATGTCTCCAATTTACAAGCCGACCTCAATGCACTGTTTAATTGGGCAACTATGTGGCAAATGAGCTTTAATGTTGATAAATGTAAGGTTATGAACTGGGGGGCTAAGAATATGCAGGCATCATACATACTGGGGGGGGGGGTACAACTGGGGGAATCAATGGTGGAGAAGGATCTGGGAGTTCTGGTAGATCACAAGCTTAATAATGTCATGCAATGCCAAGCTGCAGTTTCTAAAGCGAGAAAAATCCTCTCTTGTATTAAAAGAGGTATAGACTCCAGAGAGAGAAATATAATTTTCCCCCAGTACAAATCATTAGTAAGACCTCATCTGGAATATACAGTTCAGTTGTGGGCACCAATTCACAAAAAGAACATTGGGGAACTGGAGAAAGTACAGAGAAGGGCAACCAAACTGATAAGAGAAGAGGAGATTAAGAGGGGATATGATCTCCATGTATAATACATCAGTGGTTCATATAGTGAACTTGATGTAGAGTTATTCACCTTGAGGTCATCACAGAGGACAAGGGGGCACTCTTTATGTCTGGAGGAAAAGAAATGTAATCTCCAAACACGGAAAGGTTTCTTCACAGTAAGAGCTGTGAAAATGTGGAATAGACTCCCTCAAGAGTTGGTTCTGGCCAGCTCAGTGGATTGCTTTAAAAAAAAGCCTGGATTCTTTCTTAGATATACAGAATATAACTGGATACTAACATTTATAGGTAAAGTTGATCCAGGGAATATCCAATTGCCTCTGGGGGGATCAGGAAGGAATTTTTTTCCATGCAGGAGCAAATTGGATCATGCTTTGCTGAGTTTTTTTTTCCTTCCTCTGGATCAACTGTGGGTATAAGATTATAACTTTTTTTTTTATTATTTAATGGTTGAACTGGATGGACTTTTGTTCAGCCAGACTAAATATGTAACTATGTAACAGGAAGGGGCCATCCCCAAACTGTTCCCACAAAGTTGAGAGAATGAAATTGTCCAAAATGTTTTGGTATGCTGATGCCTTAAGAGTTTCCTTCACCGAAACTAAGGGGCCAAGCCTAACTCCTGAAAAACAACCCCACACCATAACTCCCCCTCCAGCAAACTTTACACCTGGCACAATGTAGTCAAGCAAGTATTGTTCTCCTTGGAACCTCCAAACCCAGACACATTCATCAGATTGCCAGACAGAGAAGCATGATTCGTCACTCCAGAGAACACGTCTCCACTGCTCTAGGGTCCAGTGGCGGTGTGCTTTACACCACTGCATCTGATGCTTTGCATTGCACTTTGTGACATAAGGCTTGGATGAAACTGCTCAGCCATGCAAACCCATTCCATGAAGGTCTCTATGCACTGTTGTTGTGTTAATCTGAAGGTCACATGAAGTTTGGAGGTCTTTAGCTATTGACTCTGCAGACAGTTGGTGACTTCTGTGCACTGTGCACTTCAACATGCTCTGACCCCGCTCTGTCATTTAACGTGATCTGCCACTTGGTGGCTGAGTTGCTGTTATTCCCAGTTGCTTCCACTTTGTTATAATACCACGAACAGTTGACCGTGGAATATTTAGTAGCAAGGAAATTTCATAGACTGATTTATTGCACAGGTGGCAACCTATCACGGTACCATGCTTGAATTCACTGAGCTCCTGAGAGCGACCCATTCTTTCAAAAATGTTTGTAAAAGCAGTCTGCATGCCTAGGTACTTGATTTTATACACCTGTGGCCATGGAGGTGATTGGAACACCTGAATCCAATGATTTGGAGGGGTGGCCCAATACTTTTGGCAATATAGTGTGTGTAAATATATATATATATATATATATATATCCAAATAACACATGTTTGTTGACCACAAATCACAGATTTGTGCACTTTACAACCTATAGGAAGTATGTATTGTTTTATTTAAAGTTGCACACCCTCGCATTAATGACCTTTTGCCGTTTTTTTCCGAAGTAATTATTCTAGGAAGCACTTAGGGGTTGATAAATCAGGGGAAAATTCTACAAATATCACAACACAGCTGCATCCCCTCTTACCTTCTGGCCAGAAATCTCTCGATCCCCTTGGTATATTTTTTGTTTTGTTTTCGGGTTTGGTTATAACATTTATCCAGCTTTCTTGTTGAAAGTCATCGTCCATTGGATCCACGTTGCAGAAGCTGGGATATATTTACAACATTTGAGGCTTGATTTGTGTTTCATTTTTACAGCCAAATGCTTTTCAGTCAACACATGTGGTATAAATATCAACAGTGTCTCTACTCCAAGTTGCTCTTGGATAAGATTTACGGCATTCATAAAAGGGACCTTTTGTTTTCTGTGTTAAAAAAATATGTATATATCTCAGAAACCACAAACTCATATGAAAAAAAAAGAAATTAAATAATGAATTCTAAAAAAAAAAAAACACACACTTTATTGATGCTTGTCCTATATGGGGGTTTATACTTTTAATTCTTTTCATTGGTTTGAATGGGTTGAATATGGAAGGAAAAGTCACTGTGGAAAGCACAGAAGTATGCATGGGTACGGTGGCAGAAATTACTGAAGCATGTGTAAGTGCAATGGTTGTGGTAGAGTTAGCAAGGACAGAGGCAGGCATGGGTGCAATGGCAAGTTAAGTGGAGGGTTGTGGGAGAGGTGTTAAGTACAAGGGGTCAGACGAACATGAGTGTCAGTTTATAGGTGGGGTGCAGGGGGAGGAGGATGGGGACAGCTGTGGGGGTAAAAGCAGGGGAGTTGTATTGTAAAGATGCAAGTTTCAGGCATGGTGGTGAGAAGGGGAGTGCAGGCACGGTGGTGACCTAGGCTAGTGAAGGGGGGAGTTACCGGTGCAATCGTAGTAAGGGAGGTTGTTGCAGACATGGTGGTGAGTGATGTCTATGTAAGGAGCTGTGAACTGTCACTTCAGATGCGGTCTTCCTAGCCTGCAGCAGAATTCAGATAGGAAGGTATTTGGTGTGAGCTGCCAGGCTGAAGATATTGCCTGTGTAAGAAACAGCAGAGGCCAGGGTGTAGAGAGGTGGTGTGAGCTGATAGGGCCAAAATTTAGACTGTTGTGTCTCATCGCAAAAAGACTCACATGCTCTGAGTCCTGATTTCTATGCATGTGCAGTAGATCCCCATAGACTTCGATGGGAATGGGAGACTGCCCAGTCTCCTGGTGCCATGGACGTTTACGGGGTTTTGTTTTAAGTTTTGTTAATGTCACTAATGTGCAAAACCCAGCCTCTATCAATATGGCCACCTCCACACTGGGACACAATGCCCAACAAAACATGGTAAGTCAGTAATGGGGAATAGAGCAGCTGCAAGGAGACCACAAGCAATACTGCTGACTAGTCGTTTGCCCTCTACTTGCCTTGGCAGGCCAAAGAAGATGCATTTTTTTTTACATGAAATCACTGGCATATTGTGTTCTCTCGGCAGAGGGGGTGTGGGGAGAACACAGCGACAGACTATATACATAAAAATATGACATGCTGGTTGTACTTAAGTCATATAACAGTCAAATTGGGTACAATCAGCCTGCCCATAGATGGTTCGAATCTCGGCTGGTCCTTGCTGAACCGGCCAAGATTTGAACCATCTATGGCCAGCTTTATTATGGGCACAGCTTCCAGAGTTCATCTCATGGTGTGTGTGTATTCGTCAAATAATGTGTGTATTCTACAAATTCCCTACCTTTCCAATTTCATTAATGTCTTTTTTGGAAATGTTCTTTTCTGTTAATTAACACTATGGATCAAAGTGTGCATAATGGTCATATTGAATTTGATAGTCCTAGCCTTCCAGAGCTTCTCATTTTGCTGCCTGATGCAAAATACACTTAAAGTATTTATCAAAAATAGAAGAATATTTTCCAGTGGTCAATAATTTGTTAAGATTATAGGCAGCTGGTATGTAAAATCCCTGATGTGTTAATAATAAAAGGCAATTGTAGGATAACAGAGCTGTTAATGTAAACTAAACTGGAAGTGACATTTTGATACTTTTTAGGCTAGATCTATGTGATCTCTGGAAATGCACTACATTTATTCAATGGACTTCAATGAAATTGCATCAAAAACACATTAACGCACATGACAACAGACACCTCCTCCTACCAACATCGACACATAGCTTGCCATTGGCCAAAACAAAAAAAAAAATGGAAAATGCATTAAAAAGCCTCAAAAACGTGCATGAAATAATGTAAAAGTGCACCAAAACAAGTCACAAAAATGCATCAACTACACATGAATAGATGTGAACCTACCTTGGGAGTCCCCCAAAATGTGTTTTTCAAGCCATACACAGCTATGTGAAACACCCCATGTTTTTGGTATGCTGTAATTGTTCTACTATAACCATGATTGCATTTACTGGATCACTGCTGTGCCAGGGTGTCCAAAATAGGAGAGCAGCACTCCTCACTATAGCATTTGACACTTCTTAATGCATGGCTGCTTATCGATTATTGGGTAGAAGTATGCTCAACCTTATCGCTATGTTACAATGCAGTTGGGCCCATACTAGCCTGCCCCAATTTATGCACTTACTCTCATAAAAGAAAGTATAAATAGTTGATAGAATTAAACATGTATTTTTAAACAATAAGAAAATATGCCATAAATCAAAGGCTAATCAACACAAAGGGCACGGTACAGGAGAGGGCAGGAGGGCACAATACTGGGATGTTCTAGGACACTGCCCAGGACACAGTTGTCCCAGGACAGCTTAGTAAAGAGCGTGACTGTCCCAACAAATCTGAGACAGTTTGTCAAGAATGATGTATGTAGAATTATCATGGGGCCCCCATGCACCTGGGGCCCCTGGGCAGTGCCCAGGGGTGACCATGTGTTAAGACAGCCCTGATTGTAAGCCCCACTGTCAGTGTTAAATGATTTCTCTTAACCTTCTAACTGCCCCTTTTGCTGGACAGCTTGGTCTGTTAAAGGAAACTGAGAAATAAAAGACTTACTGGAAGGATCACTAGGTGAAAAAAAAGGAAAAATGCCAAAAATAGAAATTCAATACAATCACCATATTTAAGGATTGGTAAGCAGAAATATATTACATTTTTGCTTTTGGATTTCAATATGCTTTAAAAGAACATGCAATTTTAATTAGATTGTTAGTTCATCTCCCAACAAACTGACCTCACCAGATAACTTTATCTATAGATTTGAAATGTTGTGGTTGTCTTCCATTGGATATCTGCATTGATCTTGCAAGATAATTAAACCACCACACAGGGGCGGACTGACAACTCATGGGGCCCCCGGGCAATAGGGGATCATGGGGTCCCTGTGTCCTTGCCCACACTCAAAAAAGACTATAAAAAAGGTACCAGAGGCATTTCATGGGGCTCCCTACTAACCCCGGGCCCTCGGGCAGTGCCCGAGTGCTCAAATGGTCAGTCCGCCCCTGCCACCACATAATATGGTATATATAGGGATATATTTACTAAAACTGCATGGTGCAAAATCTGGTCTGCATAGAAACCAATCAACGTCCAGGTTTTTTTGTCAAAGCTTAATTGAACAAGCTGAAGTTAGCAGATGATTGGCACCGATTTTAGCAAATCAACCCCATTGCGTTATGTGAGATAAACCCTGTGCTTAGAAGAGTCATTTTGATTACTTGATGATGTATATTGTGTAAATGTGTTATCTCCTTGGTAGACAATGTAATTTAAGTTTAGGGAGCAATCTTTTAGGGCCTATGCCCATTTGACCTTTGTAATGAACAAAAACATATGTATTTACTGTATAAAAATATATTTCTAGAAGAAATCTCATTCTCACTTATGGGACTGTTGCACATCTGTCCACTGCAGTTTAGTGATAATGGGCATAAAAACTATATGGGTTCAGTCACACCTACACATGTGCGTTACCATACATGTGTCAAAGCACATGGTATAGTGTCAATCTAGACCTATACTAATTTTCTGTAAAATGGCTAAAAGGCTGACATACACTGCCTGATGTATTTGAACAACCATAGTAAATACATTTTTTATGATGGTGTAGATTATATTTTGGCTTTTTTTTTGTTTCTCAATAGGGTTACCTAATCCCAAACTAACATGGATGAGAAAAGACCACTCCTTGCCAAACAATTCATTTGTGCTTTTAAACGGTTCCCTGCTGCTAACAAACATCAGCTCTGAAAATGAAGGGACGTACATTTTGCACTGCAACAAATATGCTTGGAAGAACAGTAGCAATGACTGTTCTGCACTTATCTGGTTAGTATCAAAATTTGTAGCTGCATTCTTTTGTTATGACCTAGCTTGTGGTGAACTTTTATAATCCTATCAGTTTTTACAGCATTCCTGGGATATAATAGCTCTAGGTTGGGCCTTTATTTTCTAAATACCTCATTTTAATGAAAAAAAAAAGACGCTTTGGATTACTTTCTAAATTATAGCCCTTGGTTGCGCATGTGGTCTGAACATGACGTCTTTCTGGTGTCTGTGCTCCAGCTCATTTTATTGGAGCTGTACTGCTATTTACATGAAAAGGTAACTGCATGCTAACCATGTCTTTTTAAAGTCATACTTTTTTGGTAAAGATTTAGATTTTTTTCTGATATTGTTACTTTTTTCTTCCAACTGTTAAGGCTGGAAAAGTAATTTTTCTAGAGATGATTTTTACAGTGGTTACCACAAGATTACATCATAGCTGCCATTATATTCACTGCTAAACAAGAGCACTTTGCTATGATAGCTTTTTATGTCATACATCTCAATGGCAAGTATCTAATAGCACAAATATTAAAAAGAATAATATTTAATAAACTCCTACCTGCCCTACTTAGTGACTTGTTTTGTCTGGAAGCCTGGACTACCGATTTACAAAGATGCCTGAAACAAGAACTGTTTCCAGTGACCATAGCAAAGGTCCTTTCCTATCAGTGCGACACAGAATGAAAAGACAATTAGACTGTTTGCTGTGGTCACCTATGGACAATTCCTTAAAGTGAAGAAAAGCCTAAGGCAAGCCATAGATTTGATTTTCTTTCCAGCAGCCACAGGTTGCAGGAAAGAAAAATTGCCTGATTCTCCAATCAACAAAGTTGATGGACTGCCTCCCACAGAGCTATTTTGTTCTGTCGGCAGGGAGCCTTCCCTGCTGGAAGAACACAATGATTATTGCTAGTGGCTATAGCCACCAGCAGTAATCGCATGTAAAAAATCTTACAGGCTGGTTGTACTCAAGCCGATTGATGGATCAACTTGGGTACAACCAGCCTTCCCATAGATGGAACGAATCTCTGCTGGTCCCTGCTGAACCAGCCGAGATTTGATCTATCTATGGATGGCTTAACTATATCTATTCTTAAAAATGTCCACCCCCTACCTATCTTGCCCAACTTGTATAAAAAAGATCTGTTTACTCATATATCTTTAATCCACTCCGGTCTGGTCATGTAATCCTGCAGCTCCAGCTCACATCTGTCAATCTGCATCTGTTGCAGGGAACAGAAGAGAGCGCCAACAAAGGTTGGGCCACGGGAGCCTATGGGTGATGTCGCGGCTCCTGGAACTCAGAGCCGTTGTCAAGTACTCCTTTACACAGAGCTGCAGGATCACATGACTGGACCAGAGCAGATTAATAATAGGTAAGTATACAGATCTTTTCTATACAGGTTAATCAAGATAGGTAGGAGGAGAGGGGAGGGAACATACTTATAGTTAGGCTTTTCTTCCACATTAACCTGGCCATACACTAGTAGATTTTCAAATGAACATATGTACGGAAATTCTCATAACTATTGATGACTTGACCAGCATTGTCTGAACGCACTTCAGAATTTTATTTGCTTTTAACGTTCAATCTGGGAATAAATGGACTTTCCTGAGCAAGAACCACATTCACTTTTAGAAATGTGTTCATTCAAAAAAAACTTCAATCATGTTCCTTCTAATTTTCTTGTTGCTGTGTTTGAAAATGAATGCTGATTTGACCTCATTAACAATTAGAAAATCAATAAATGTTCCTAAAATCAAAAATTTCAAACTAAATTCTACTAGTGTATGGCCAGCTTTAATCATTTTCAATCATAATACCCATAATTCTTCTGACTATACTGTAGCTAAATTACTTGTCTTGATTTTCCCTATAGGTCATAAATTGCACAATTCTACAGAAGAACTTTCCAGGAAAGGCAAAAGGCGAGTTCTGATGGCATCTGCAGTAGGTACTAGCCTTTCTGGTAAAGCTGGGGACCTCCTACGTATCGGTAAATCTATTTTTTTTTAAGTATAATACATCTTTGGGAGAGTGCAGAAAAAATCTTTTAACTTTGAACATAAGGATGTGAATTTAAGAGACTTCGTATTGGCTTTAGGTCAATTTTATTTTATTTTATTCTTTTTTAAGATCATACATTTTTAAATTGATGATTTTTATGTTTGTTTTCACTATTTTTTTTAAAAAAAAATTTATTTTGCTAAAATTTAAAGTATAACTATAGGTAAAATAAAAAATGGCATATTTAATGTAGCCTATCATTAGCATTAAGACTAGGTTCACCCTATTGTGGGTGGTTGAGAGTGTGGGAATTGTAGCTGTTTCTGCACCTGCAACCATCTGCAGCCAAAGCTGCTCTTCCAGTGGCACCCCCACATATCTAAAACCACAGCGTGGGTGTGGGACCGATGGAATTTCTTGTTGCTGGGTGAAACACAGGCACAGTAGCCCATTCAAATGAATGGGCTGCTGTTCCCGATCAAACATAGCCCACAGAATTGCATATGTGTGAACCTAGCCTAAAGCAGTATTAAAGTCTCCTACATTTTTTGGGGGGGGGGCTTCTTTAGGTTTATGCCATTATGTACTAGTATGCACCACATATTAGCACATTATGGCAGATTTACCTGTCAAACGCCATGGTGCATGTGTGGCTCAGGTTACATTACTGCTGACAGGCCAGGGGAGGCATTTAACACTTTAACCTTTTTTTTTGTTTTCAATGCCCCCTGTAGTTTTATTATTGCCACTAAATCCATTATTTTTCCACCTCCCTATATTAGGGGGGGCAGCATTGTTTGTGCTGCAATTACATAGCAGCATTGTCACCCTGTGGTGAGGGTAATCTTAGATGGAGATATAGTTTAAATAGAATTTACATTAGGGAGAAACACGTTAAAGGCTAACTCCCACTAACACTTTCAAGTAGTTGTATAGTAACCATTTTAACCATTGTATGCACCCCAGCATGAAACAGCTTGTCCCAAATGTGGCTCTTACTTTTTCTGGACAGCATGGTCTGTTACATTAAGATTAAAAATAATTGATCTATTGGTAGGATCAACAAGTAAGAAAACTATGTTGCAGGGGAGACTAAAAAAACCCAAAACTGGTATGTTAATGCTAGTGGCAGATTGCATCACATATGCATTTTTTTTATTTTGCTCATAGTTCCACTTTAATACAGTGTGCATTCGCAACTCAGGTGTCAAAGACATTATGGGTTTTCTTAGGCTATAGCTCAGCAAAAGCTGTTTGCTTTCAGGATGTTTCTTTCTAATTGCAAGTATGTAGTGCCCTGTATGAACAGCACAGGCAAGGAAGGGGTAGGAAATAAGTCACCCTTTAACTCAGCAGTTGTGTGTGTAAACTGGAGCCTGAATTGTTTTTTTCTGAAAAGCAGCAAACACAAAACAACGCCTAGAAATCCAGGCTAAATGATAATAAGTATATAAATTGCAAGCTCATACAATTTCTCAATTTGTGTATTTGTCCTTTTTGGTTTTCTTGCACTTGGAAGGCGTGATAATGTGAAAATGAGTAGTTTCCAGATTGCTGGTACATTCACAGATTAGTGTGTGTGCCATTTTGTTGATGTGTACAGTGCTGTGAAAAAGTATTTGCCCCCTTCCTGATTTTTTGGGGTTTTTTTTACATATTTGTCAAACTTAAATGATTCAGATCATCAAACAAATTTTAATATTACACAAAGGTAACCCGAGTAAATACAAAATGCAGTTTTTAAATGATGATTTCATTTATTAAAAGAAAAGGTTGCCCAAATCTGCCTGCCCCTATGTGAAAAAGTAATTGCCCCCTGAACCTAACAACTGGTCGTGCCACACTTGGCGGCAACAACTGCAATCAATTGTTTGCTATAAGTGGCAATGAGTCTTTCACATCACTGTGGATGAATTTTGGCACACTCTTCTTTGCAGAAGAGCATCTTAATTGGATTTAAGTCCGGACTTCAATTAGGCCACTCCAAACCCTTAATTTTGTTTTCTTTTTAGCAATTCAGAAATGGACCTGCTGGTATGTTTTGGATCATTGTCCTGCTGCATGACCCCAGTGTTCTTTAGCTTGAGGTCACAAACTGATGGCCGAACATTCTCCTTCAGGATTTTCTGGTAGAGCGCAGAATTCATGGGTCCATCATTTATGGAAAGTTGTACAGGCCCTGAAGCTGCAAAGCATCCCCAGACCATAGCTTTACACCAGATGTAATGGGATGCACACCTTCCAAAAAGTTCAACTTTTGTATAATCAGTCCACAGAATTTTTTCCTCAAAATTCTTTTGGATAATCAAGATGATTTTTGGCAAATGTGAGACGAGTGTTTGTGTTCTTTTTGGTCTCCAATCACTTTCACCTTGGAACTCTCCCATGGATGGCATTTTTTCCCAGTGTCTTTCTTATTGTTGAATCATGAACACTGACCTTAACTGAGGCAAGTAAGGCCTGCAGTTCTTTAGATGTTGTTTTGGGTTCTTTTATGATCTCCTGAATGAGTCATCCTTGTGCTCTTGGAGTCATTTTGGTAGGCTGGTCACTCCTGGGAAGATTGACCACTGTTCCAAGTTTTTTCTGTTTGTGGATAATGGTTCTCACTGTGATTAACTGGAGTCTCATAAAATTAGAAATGTTTTTCAGGTACTTTGATTCTCATCTGTTCTTGAATTTCTTTAGATTGCAGCATGATGTGTTGCTTTTTTAGATCTTTTAGCGTGCTTCACTTTGTCGGACAGCTTCTATTTAAGTGATTTCTTGATTCAACAGGTCTTGTAGTAATCAGGCTTTGGTGAGGCAAGTGAAATTTAACTCAGCATTCCAAAAAATGTGGTTAATAACAGTTCATTCATTATTTAACAAGGGGGGAGATTACTTTTTCACATGGGACAGGCAGGTTTGGACAGTTTGTTTCTCTTAATAATTGAAATCATTGTTTAAAAAACTACATTTTCTATTTACTCAGGTTATCTTTGTGTAATATTAAAATGTGTTTGATGATCTGAATCATTTAAGTGTGACAAATATGCAAAAAATAAAAAAATAAGGAAGGGATTAAATACTTTTTTATAGTGCTGTATGTTGCGCTAAATATTTGTTCTATGTGTGTGTGTTCACATATGCGATTGTATAAATCATATTCTCTAGCATTTTCATTTACTTCTTTCATCTGAAGTACCTGGTTGATCCTGCCAGTGACCTTTCTTCCTTATTCTAAACTGACCACACCAAGCACAGACGCTGATCTGTGTTGATGTGGTCAATTTTCTTCCTTTGGTGGGCCATTCAGAGGTACAGGACACTGTGTAAACACACAGCATGCCTGTATTGGGTAGTTTGTTCACCATGCCCCGCCAATCACAGCTTGCCTCTGGCACACATCCCCTCCTAATTACAGCTTTCCTCTGAACCATGCTCCCTGCTCAAGCGCAGCCTGCATCCTGCCTCAAGCTGAACAGACTATTGAATACAGGCACACGGTGTGTCTGCACAGTGTCAACTAACCCCACCCCCACTGTTAGAAAGATGAGATGCATGGCCACATGACAGAACTTTTTAACCTTGTAAAAAAGGTAAGAAAGATAATTTCTGAAACTAAACAAAATCAGTTATGGTGCCTGCATAGTTATAACTATATTAGAAAGTATCTATAACATTGTATGTTCACAACTACTTTAATAGAGAAGTATGGCATAACAAAACAAACATTCATACTCACTTAGGTAGATGCAGCACTAGTCCAATCCTGCATCTGTTCCCCACTGCCTTTAAGACTGAGAACTGATTGCTCAAAGACCACTGATCGCTCAGTTCTCAGTCTTCAGTAAGCAGAGAGCTGTCAGTCATTGTTCTCTGCTCTGCCCCTCCAGTGTTCACTGTAGTGCCAAGTTGTGAAGGTAATGGGAGCAGCTGGCTTACTGCTGAGAGCAACACACAGCTGAGCCAGCTGCTGGTCCAGGCATCTGGGTGGTTCCTGACTTTAAATTCGGGATCTTTCAAGTATCTATACTGGTTGAGTGATGTCAGCCGTCAGGGGGCTTTAGCTTGCTGTTGGCTGAAAACAGGCCACTGGAGTGCAGAACGAAGTATACCCAAAATAGCTTTGGCTATACTTTTCATTTAAAGTGGAGTTCCAGTCACACTCTGGAAAATAAAAGTCAGCAGCTACAAAAACTGTAGCTACTGATTTTAAAAAACAGCCACCCACCTGTCCCTCGATCCTGCTGTGTCCTCCTCGGAGCCCGTTTCATTGGCCGTCCAGTGTTCCTGGTGGCAGCACTTCAATGTGGGCACCCAGCTGTGACAGATACGGCTTCACAGTCAGGTGCCCACTGCACATGTGCGAGTAGCACTGCACTTTCTGAATGGTCCTGTAGTCTTCTTAGACCTGTCACATGTCCCAGAAGACTACGGGGAGGAAGGAGGACAACTTCCACTTCCAATCACCTAGGCGATGACAGTGAAAGTGGGAGCAGGTACCTGTCAATATCAGGTACCCGCTTCCCAAAGGAGCCAATCCTTAATGGGGAGTGGGGGACCAATCTTTAAAGTGGAACTTCCCCTTTTGGGTGGAGCGCCGCTTTAATATGTCATGATTATTGACAGCTGCATAGAGGAGCACAGCAGAGACAAGGATTTGAAGCACTGAATTGCCAACATCCCTCTTACATGGCATATCTGCTGTCAAATATCTGATGGGTTTATTCAGGTTGCAGGTCATTGCAGTGGATTTAAAGAGGCATACACTATATGAAAGTTTTTACCGCTCGATTCACATCTGAAGATGCATGGTGGACTTTGTATTTCAGAACACAAAAAGAAGTCTGATGCTCAGTCACACGGCAGCCAGACTGCTGGAAAGATTTCACTACTGTGCCCTATAGGTTAATTGTGTGCACTT